ATGTACAGTGACTAAATAACCTAATAATATGTACATAACAAGTAATAAAAATTGGATTAGATATATGATTATAATACAATTTAAAAAATTTAAAATTACTGTTGAAGACTATTAGCGATTATGAATGAGTTCTTATACCGATCAGTTCGAATTCGAGGTAGATGGAATTTGCTACATTGTCTTAGGGAATACGAACAAACTTTTTTCTCCGGAACTAGTGAATGTAATTTATGATCTGTCATTTGGGCCTCTTCAAAAAGTTTGAGGCAAGCAGCTGTTCTACGATCAAACAATAAATCTAACTTCGAGGTTTTAATAGCGTCCTCATAAGAGAGGTTCGGATATATTCTTCTCAGGAAACGCTTTTGTACCCTCTCAATCTCGTTATTTAGATATTTCGGCAACGAGTTATGGAACACTGGTGATGCGTATTCCAAGATCGACCGGATACATGCGCAGTAAATTAGTATAATATCTTCAATCGGGACCTTTGCTCGTTTAAGTTGTGTTATCAGATATAATCTCTTGGTGGCTTTAGAAACGATTGTCTCTACGTGTACTCTCCATTTTAGATCACTGCTAATCGTAAGCCCAAGGATTTTAGCATTATTCACTATTTCAAGTTCTTTGCCGTTGACTAATATCGGGACAAGCGTGTTACTGGTGTTACTATTCCGAGAAAAATCAATCCTAAGCTCTTTGCATTTGTCTTCATTTAGTTGGGCCAGGTTGGTTTCAGTCCAGTTTTGAACCTCATTAACTCCCAACTGAATTACACTACGCTGACCTTTTTTAAGAATTTCCGAAATAGTTGTGTCATCGACAAATTTCCAAGGATCGCTATGAGATGTTGTCAGGTCATTTATCATTAGAACATATAACCAGGGTCCAAGTTTGGTACCCTGGGGGACACCCGCGCGAATTTCACTCCATTGGGAAAAACAGTTGCTCGTTAATTTTACCCGCTGTTTACGGCCAGTAAGAAAATCCAAGATCCAATTTGTTGTGGGAGCGGGGAGGTTAAGTTGTTTAATTTTGCCAGAGAGTCGTTTATGGTCTATAAGATCAAATGCCTTTCTGAAATCAAACAGGATTGTGCGAACTAGATTTCCAGGTTGGTCAGTGGCTTGTAACCAGTGGTGCATCATAGATATTAAAGCCATTGTAGTTGAAGATCTTGGTACTACCCCATATTGATTTTTGTCAATTATTTCCAAAACGGCCGGTTTAAATTGCCTCTCAATAACAAAATCCTCAGCCACCTTCGAAATTATTGGCGTTAGTGATATTGGGCGAAGGTGTTTATTAATATCTGTAATTTGACTTGCTTTGGGAATGGGAGAGATGTTTGACTGTTTCCAACCTAGTGGTAATTTTCCTTGTTGAAATGAATTATTTATAATTTGGCAAATTGGATAGGCCAGTATTTCTGCAAACTCTCTCAGTAGCCATGGTTGGAGTCCATCCGGGCCAGGAGATTTACTTGCGTTAAGGGATTTCAGTTTCATAAATACATCAAATTCATCTACTCGTAATATGTCACAGTTAGATGCTGGCCCTGCATACTGGATTTTATCAGACTCATCAAGTGGCACATAGGATTGCTGTGGATCCAAAAAACAATCATTTATAATGTTTGCAATTTCATCATGGGAAAAATCGTTAATATTAATATTTTCTAGTGCAAGGATGGATAATATATCTTTGTTATCAGACATTGGGGTGTGACCACTAATGCGTTTAACTTCGTTCCACCACCTTTTTGGTTTACTGTCCTTTAAATGACGTATTTTAGAATTATAATAAACTTGCCTACACCGCTTTCGATAGTTATTGACCCGGTTACGATAAAACTTGAAAAGTGTTTGATTTCCTTGTGCCCAGGCTGCTTGGCGTTTGACAATTAACTCTTTCAGATGATTTGTCATCCATGGAACATCGTTCTGATGAATTACTCGTGTTTTCTCAGGCATGATATTGTCAAGTCCAAGCTGAATCAAATCATTAAATAAAGCAGCTTGGTTGTCGACTGAATCTGTTGATATAACTGACCAATCGACTCCTGAAAGAAAACGGCCAAGTTGATCCTTTTTGCTTGGTCTTAGATCTCGTACTGAAACTTTAATGCGCTCTGACTTGGTTTTAATTCTTTCTTTTGGGAGAATTGTAATTGTGCAGTGATCCGAAAGTCCGAACGGTGAAAGGCGATTTGCATCTTTATAAAAGGAGTGCAAATTTGTAAGGATTTTATCTAAAGTGTTATTCCCCCGAGTTGGAAAATTAATTAACTGTTTAAGCTTAAATTGTCGTACAATAGGTGAGGTGTTAAAATGATTGAAGTCGCCTGTCAATATGATACCACAGTTGGGAAAATGTCCTTCGAAAGAGGAAAGACAGTCAGTGAGATACTCCGACATAATATGGTTATTAGAATTGGGAGGGTGGTAGATTGTTCCAACAATAATGCATGAGATTGTCCGCGGTAGACGTCTTGGTCGTATTTTGATCCAAATTACTTCCAAATTGGAAGACTGCATCTCGACTAAATGCTTAAAATGAATATTTTGGTGGACAAAGACACAAACTCCGCCATGTGAACTATTTTCACGGTCTTTACGTACTACATTGTAATCAGGAATTTGGATCATATTGTCAGATATAGTGTTGCGTAGCCACGTTTCTGTGATACATAACAAGTCAAGGTCCGCTTGCTTAACAAAGGAACTAATTTCGTCAATCTTAGGAGCCAAAGTCATAACGTTCGTCAGCATTAGGCTTGGGACAAACTGCAGAGAAACTCCCTGTTCACGGTTAATGTTTTGGCTTTGGCATTTAATATAAATAAGATTCTTCAGATTTACACCTTCTTGAACGCTAGTCATATTATGATAATACGGCAGTGACAAAACAGAGGAAACGCTTGATTGAGTGGACTGTTCGTAGTACACGAATTCAGTTGTCGTATTTCGCATAGATTGTCCAGTGTTATAGAAATTCCCTATGGTTCGGCTGCTAATAATCGATTTGATACTTCTCACCTTGTTAAAACCAGCACGACATCCACGTCTTGTAGGCTTGTTCGAAGCAATTTTCAAGTTCACTAACTTCCGCCACACTGGATTACTCAAAGCCCCATATAGACCATTAAAAGACATCAATAGTTCACTCGAATAAGACCACATTGTCCTTTACTATTAACGAATCGAATTCAGTAATCGATAACCACTTTGAAAAGTTAAAACATTTAAAATAATAGATGAATATACGGGAGCAGCCAACGGCGCGTCCAACCCGTGTCGCGTACCAATTTGCGTCGAGGGCTCGAAACGTCAAGTTTCTGCTTGTTTATTTCAGGTAGTATTACCTGAAATAAACAAGCAGAAACTGAGTGTTTTTCCATTGATTGATCTTGAGTTTCGTTCGGATTGTGTCGTTGATGTTGTCCAAGATGATTTTGCTGACTTTTCCTAATCCGCTCTTTGCTGGATTTATCAACCTATACGTTGGGTTAACCTCGAAATTTTCTTTATGGTCTTTGATGGTGATGAACGCTTCTTGTTTTCTCATAGTCTCAATTCTGTCTTCAATTGAAAGATTTTTAGATATGTTGTATAATTCTTCGTTGATAGTGTCCATAATGTTTTCGTCGCTCTGTTTGTAAGTTTTTGTGATGTTCTCTCTCAAGGTTTTGTTGTAGTTTTCTGGAGTGGTTTCATAAATTTTTTTGTTTTATCCGCAAATACGAAAACATTATTTGATGTGTTCACTTTTTTCACGTCCTCGGATAGTTTGTCTAAAAACTGGTCGTTCACTTTCTTAAATTTTATTGTTTCGATCATGTCGATGAGGTCGTTTTCAAACTTTTTCATTTCGGCGATGTGTGATGGAAATGTTTTAGATTTCAATCCAAACTTGCATTCGTCGTTCTTACTTGGTCCATTTAGGAAAAAATGTGCCTTCCATCTCATTCGTCTCACAACATTTTCAAATTTATTGATTAATCTTTTCCTGTATGCGTCTTGTGATGGTAAACCGATGTTCTTTTGTTCTTTCCGGAGTAATTACGACGCTAATCTCAACTACGTTCCTAACAACAACGCGACCAGCAAACGAAAAAGAAATCGCCAACGAAAGATCATATGGTTCAACCCACCTTACAGCAAGAATGTAAAGACGAATGTAGCCAAGAACTTCTTGCAGCTCATTGACCGACGAAATGGCTCACTATATAAAGCCGACACTTGCTTTAAAACCGAAGCAAGTTATTATTCATGTTGGGACGAATGATCTCAAAACGAAATCACCGGCTGAAATTATTTACAACTTAAAAAACCTGGGCAATCAGGCAAAACAAGAAAACACCGGCACTGGTGTCTCACTCTCACAGATAATAATTAGAAGTGATGACACAAGATTACAAAATAAATTAGTTGAAGTCAACAAATGCATACAAGATCTTTGCGAACAAGAGAACTGGGGTCTTATTGACAACAGTAATATCAGTAATATGCATTTGAATCCGTATGGACTACATTTAAACAAACGTGGCTCTGCTATATTAGCAAAAAATATCAAATTGCATATAACTAACAATATAGATAACTATTGACTGGACTTGACGAATTGCAAACCACCGCCTATAAACAGTTCCAATTTACCAAAGCAAAATAATAACAAAGTTATTTATCCGAAACTAAAGGATTAAAATTTGCCCATGTGAATATAACTAGCCTTCCAAAACATTTAGACGAATTAAAATTATTTCTCCAACAACTACCATTTGAAATATTAAGTTTAAATGAAACGAGATTAGATGAGACAATTCAAAATAACATGGTTCAGATTCCAGGTTATGAGATAATTAGACGAGGTAGGAATAGAAGAGGCGGAGGGGTTGCTTTTCTTGTCAAGAATAACTATTCGTACACTCTACGAGACGATCTAATTCCAAAAGATCTTGAAGCAATCTGTATTGAATTAACGCTACGTATGAGTCGGCC